GGCAGGGGAAGTTTCGGAAGGCGCTATATTGGCGGGGGAGTGGGGAGGGGACGCTTTTCAGGGAGGGGAAGGGCAGTGTCAGATGGACACACCGAGAATAAGGCTGGCGCCGCCGCGGATCGTCTTTTCCCCGAAATCCGCATGCTTTCATATTTTATTTTATTTAAAAAAAAAAAAAAAGAGCACTCCAAAGTTTGGATTTCTGCCTAATTCTCGATGCATTTGTGGAGCGCCTCCAAATTTTCGGAGAATATCGGTCTAGGTGTATCACTCTAGAGTGTTTTCACCACGACTCGGTGCATTTTACTTTTTTCAAATGGCTTTTGTTCAAGTTGAAGGAAACGCACTGCATCGGTTATTCCAGTTCCAACGCCAGCTAATGGGGTTACAGCCTTCAATTTCACAGCAGGGAAAAATTACACTGTTTGTTATTTACTTTCTATCTGCCATTTAAAATGCAACTTGAAAGCTTGCTGTGTTAGAGGAATATAAGAAATTGCACCGAAAGTGAGATCAAAATAGAGGAGAGTGAGCTGGAAATATTTATTTTTTTAATTTAAGGTACTGTGGCTGTCAAAGTATTTTTTTTCTTTCTCTCTTTGTTTTTCTCTTCCAAATTCAGACAAGAGTCTGTGTTACAAAACAAATGCTGTCTTCTCGTACGTTTTCGTAGGAAGAATAGTGGTAATATGTCAAGGAAGGCAAAGGCTTGTGTTAAGGAAGGAATCTGTAGAAATAGCAAGCATCTTGTATTAATTTCAGTTGGAATCTAATCAACAAGCTGGTCAGTTCCCGAGTGCAGTGGATAATGAGAGCTGTGCGTGCTGCATAATTACTCATGGCTGAAGAAGTGCGGAGTACCCCTGCTATCTGCGGGTTTTGACCGTGCATTGCTAGTTTCATTCCCCCCTCCGCGTCACTCACACAGAAGCTGTCCTTAGCATCAAGAGCCGGGGTGAAATAACCCGGAGAAGTTCCTAATCGCCAGGCGAAGTGTGCCGTGCCATGACGTTGCAGAGATCCTTTCTATTTAGTTGGCGAACAATAAACGTTTATTATCACCGCGGCAGATCATCAGACAAAGCTTCCCCCTCCCGCCTCCCCCAAGTACGAGCGCTGCTGATAAGGGAACTGCTCGGGGTGACAGGCAGACCCGCAGGCGCCATTTGGAAATAACTTCTTTTATTATTATTATTATTATTATTATTATTATTATTATTATTATTATTATTATTTCTTTTTTTTTTTTTTCCCCGGTTCGCCTTTCGCAAACAGTTGCGGGGAGGCGGCAGGTGTCAGTGCGGAGGTGCGCTGGCGCTGCCCCCGCCCGCCGCCGCGGAGCCGCCTGCCCGGTCGGTGCCTCGCAGCCACCGGGTTCTGCCGTTCGGGCACAGGCGGGGAGAGAAGTGCGGTGAATTTGTACTTTGAAGCCTTTTTCGCCTTAGATTTTTATGGCACTAGGGAGGCCTGGCAGAGGAATGCCTCTGCTGAGCGCGGAGCCTTTGCTATTTCTTTCTTTGATTTTCTTTCTCTTCATCACTTTCCTTTCCGCCCTCCCTCCTCTCGGTAGCACGTCGAGTCAGTGTGAGTCAGGACTTGTAAAATGTATTTCCAAAGCCCAGATGAAAAGTCTCTCAGGCGTGGCTGCTGCTTTATCGGAGCTCTCCCAAGCCCACCTATGCAAACAGATTTGTAATATTTGTGTGCTTAACCGTGCATCTCTTTTACAGGAATCTGTTGCTGCGTGTGACATCTCTTGCAAGCTCCCAGAGAGAATTGATGGAGCATACAGCTAGGGAATAGGATGCCAGAGAAGCACAGAGGAAGAAACCAGGCAATCACCAGGTAAACTCAACCTTGCTTTGATTTATTTCCTTTTACCTCGCCTGCAAGACCTTGCCCGCTCCAGGCAGCAGGAGAGCAGAGGGACTATAAGCATATGTATTAAACGCCCGCTCCTCTCGTTTGCTTCCGCAGGATGGGAAGGTTCCGCATCCGTTGGATATGGGACAAGATCACTCGGCAACCCTTGTGGATTCTCCTTCTTCTAGAGGGCAATTATAGTTATGGATTTATTGTCCCGGTGCAACACTTCGACCACCACCACCAGCAGCAGCAGCAGCAACACCAGCAGCTTTCTGACTCTCTTCGGTGACGGGTATTCTTGGGTGGATAATACGGATTACGTTGTTATTGCTTAAGAATACGCGTAGTCGAGGAGAGTACCGGCGGCGGGCAGGCAGGCAGGCAGCGCGACCGCCCCCAGCCCACCAGCTGGCTCCTCACCTCCTCTAGTTGCCAAGGTAGCACCTTTTCCATCTTTTCCTACGCTTTGTAATGTTTCACTCTGTCTGTGTCTCTGTCCGGGCGGGGGGAGTTCGGACGCCCTGTCCCCTGCGGAGGAAGGGGGGGTGCCCTCGCATGTGTGTGTGTGTGCGTGTGTGTGTGAGCGAGCACAGGGCTGGGCAGGGCCGGGGACAGGACCACGCCGCGGCCGGCTCTCGCCCGCGGGGGGCTGCGGGCGGGGGATGACCGAGGAAGCCGGGGCCGCCGCGGGGTACGCCTCCGCGGGCAGCGCCGGGGCCGGGGGAAGGGTGCTCGCCCCGTCCGGGAAGCCCCGGTGCCCCGGCACACGGCCGGCAGCCCTCAGCCAGCACCGCGCCCGCGGCCCCTTGTCCCTCTCCGTTGCGGGGCGGAGATGGGGGGACAGGGGGCGCCGGCCCCGCCTGCCGGGGGGGGTCCCCACCCCCGGGACGTGGGTTGCCCGCAGGGCCGGGGCGGCCCCGGCTCCGCCCGCATCCGCCGGGGCAGCCCGGGATGCCTCCCCCTCCGCGGCCGCGGCCCCTGCGCCCGCAGCAGCCGGGTGGTGCGGGGCTGGGGGGCTGCCCGTGGGCGGGGAGGTACGGAGCATCCCTGCCAGCCAGGCAAGGGGCACCCCGCAAGGCGGTGGCTCTCTCCCCCGGGGAGCCCCCGTTCCCTGGCTGCCGAGGGCTCTAGCCACTGGGTGGGACGGCTACTGGCGAGCTGTTTGTGGCTGGGTGCTTCGCAGCAGTGACACCTCTCCCGTACCCCCTGATCCTGCCCCCCCAGAGTACTGAGCCGGTGAGGGCAGGGTTAAGAGCCCCCCTTCACAGCAGCCCCAGCTCAGCAATCGGGGAGCACCCAGCCTAACGCAGAGCTCCTCAGCCCCTGAGGGCCCAGCTTGGGATACATCTTCAGGGCTGGCCAGGGCTGAGGGGTTGTTTTACCCCCTGGAGCTCAGGTGGTGGCTTTTTTGCCCCCACCAAAGGGCTCAGGACTCCTCAAATGTTACTTGCAGCTGGGCAGGTGGGAGACACGACCAAGGGAGTGTTGATTTCCGTTTCTGGCCAAGCCATGCCCCGTGTCTTTAACACAGAAGAAAAGGCACACCTGTCCCTCTCTCCAATCTCAGCAGCGGGGCACAGGCTTTGGTTAAAAGCCTGGTCAGCCTTTCAGGTGCTGTGCTTAGGAAAAGCCAGGCATAGCATTCATACTTCCAGACTTTTTTCCCCTGCTCCTCTGCTCCCCTCCCAAGACTGGCAGGGGCATGGAGCAGGTTGTGATCATCCCTCTCCACACGCCCAGATGATCCCATATCTTGTTGCCACGTAGTTGCAATTGTAAGACAGATTTCAGCCTTAAGTGAATTAGATCAGAAGCCATTTTAAAGCAAGACCAAGAGTACTGTGATGAGGTAGCCTTTTTGAATGGATCCTTCCCTCAGCTCAGCTATGATGAGGCTAAGAATAATTTTTAACATGGATGAGCCAGATGTGGAGTTGATTGTTAAATTGTGAGTGTGAAGCGGGATGATGGAGAATGTTTTTCTCTCTGTCTCTTGCCTAGCGATTGAAAGGCCATCTATGTTCTGCTTAATTATTTCCAACAACTGCCAAAGGAATCTTACTCTGTTGCCTTCAGTAGCGAGTGGAGCGCTCGTTGTTACACAGATGTGTGGATCTGTTATTCTTTAGACACATCTTTGATGCTAGCACTCTGATCCTCGTGTTTCTCTAATACCACTTGAAAGCAGATTTTTTTTCTTGTAGTTTAGTATGTTCAACAGCCTCAGAAATAATGTTAAATTATGCTTTAAAAAGACACCATCAGCTGCTAAATCATAGTCAGTTCAGCACCGTAACACAGCCACATTCACAAGTGCTGCAGGAACAGCGGGGGAAACACTATTTTAAACATCCAGGTTTGTATTACAAACCTTCCTCTGATCTGAGCTTTTAGTTGACATTTTCCCTTGAGTCATGACTTAGAGTATTATCAGGAGTTCCCATTTCATCACATAAAGGATGTGGGTTTGTTTGCTCTTTGCTTGGTTGAGTATCTTGTGCAGTATGGATTGGACTGGTACCCATAAATACAAGCTTAGCAAAATGTTTCTTTATACCTGGTTTCTTCTAGTTGCTTTCTGTTTAGCATGATGAGCTGGTTTTGCTGAATAATGCCTTAATGACAGGGCTGATGCATTTTTAATGCATGTTCTCTTTGTCATTGTCAAAATTAACATTTTGATGATTGTAGATTTCTTTTCTCTAAAATCTTTTGGGAATTGCTATATGTGGGTTAAAAGAGGGAAACTATAAGGTCCAATTGGAGAAATACTGGATATGCTCACCAAAATAATTATACAATATTGTGTAAAGCCTCAATAGCATAAAGGCTCTTAGAATGATGTTTCCCAGTAGCACGATCTCAGAGTGGCTCTCCCTGTTCATGAGCAGTTCCTGGGGTCTGTCGTGTGTGTATATTGAAGGACAGAAGCAGTCGTTTCCAAACAACAGAGCTCTAAGAGACTATTTGTGCTGCGGGCCAGATCCCGGGAATGCGTGTAGCTTCCACGGGACTGCTCAGGGGAGCAACATTGCTCATGTAAAATCCAAAATATTTTGGGCCAAATCCTACCATTCAATGCAGTAGCAAAGTCCCAATTGATTTCACTGCAGGAAAGATTAGACCCCTAGTGAAAGGGATTTTTACAACACTACACTTCCTATTTTTTTGCTTTAGAAATTGCAAATCCTGTGCGCTAAAAAATGAGTCTAAAAACCCCCTGCCTCTAATAGTCTAATGATATTTTATTAACAGCAAAAATTATACTAAAAGGCTATAGTGCAACATAATAAGAAATTACTTTATAAATAAGGGGGTTTAATTGTACCAGTACGAGTATTTTCTAATACAACATTTTAGAATGAGGTGTGTGTCAGCACCAACCGTGTGTTAACAGCTATTTTGGCAAGTGCGTATTTAATTAATTTAGAATACTAAATTTCTGTTATAAAATTGTTTTTGTAACCTGCATCCTGGTAGAAAATTAAATAAAGAATTAGCCCAAAAAATAATTACTTGAACTTAGCCTTTTTTTAAAGGCCATAATCCTGTGAAGATTTATATCTCTGGGTAATTTTATCCGCCGGAATAGCCTTGAAGGCTGCTCCCATAGGTAAGTCTTTGTCGCGCCAGGGCCCCCGTAGCAGCGCGGCCGGTTGATGGAGGAGAGGACACCGGGTTGGCAGCCACCTTGGTGCAGAGCAGGGTCCCCCCTACGCAGCCACCCATGGCGCTGGCTGCTCCCTGCCCCGCTCCACACAGGGGAGATGGCAACTCCTTAGGTCTTCCCAGAGCAGGGGGGTGCCCAAAGGGCTGTGCCCCACGGCGGGAGTGGGAGAAGGAAGGGTAGCTGTGGCCCTTACTGCCTGGTGCAGGCGGGGGAACAGCCCTGCCTGGGTCACCCTATGACAGGAAGCATTGCTCTGCTTAACAATACCCTAAATTAAGTGATGAGGACTTTCATTTCAGGTGCTCTTTCCACAAATATTTAAGCCTATAGCACTCACACCTATATATATATACACATATTTCTGAATGGAATTATTTTTTATATATATATATACACATATATAAATGTCTCTCTCTCTCTATATATATACACACAGAAGGGAGGTTAGGGCATAATATGAAAAGCCCCACTGTGCCAGACCTGGCAGAGGCACAGCTCCCACTCACCTCAGCGGGGGCCATGCCGTTGCAGGGCGTGTTTCTGACCGGTGGTGTGATTCCTCTTCCTGCCTGCAAATTTGCCTAAAATAAATGCACACGCTCTTGCAGGTAGATACGTAGAGTTATGCAGATGTCCTTCCTTGGGATCAGTTCTGCTTGCTTTCCACATTTAAGACTACATCTCATTTGGAGGGGAGCGTAAGGTTTCTTCTCATAACAGTTTATTGCCTTTTGTGACAGTTTAGGTGGCTTCTAGTGTTCATCGGGTTCTCTTAAGAAAACTGAAAACAATAATACCTATACGTTCGCACAGCTATATACATACTTTGCAGCTGTAAGAACAATGAACTAGCCTTCTTCTCTGGGTTTTTGCATCACACTAGAAGTAATGTATACAACTGGATTCTTATGCTTTTTTTTTTATAAAATAAATAGTGTCTTTACATACACAAAAGGTTTTTTCTTCTCTTCCTTTTAAAAGACTGCTATTTTTCTGAAAAGCACCCCTCCAGGCATTACCCTTAGCTGTTATGACACCTCACCATTTAGCGTTGTAAAGGTGAATCGTAAAAATTATTATTAATAATCATAAATTTTTACCAGATTCAGCAGCTGCCTCCTGAAAGCTTTAATGGTGGCAACACTTCCTGGGCTTAACGCTCATGACGCTTGCATGCTTTTTATTGCTATCATTTAGTAACCAAATTGCTCAAAAATCAAAGGACTTGATTATCACATACCTGCAATGCATAGATGTATTTATAAATGTTGTTCAATAATAACAATGACTCAAAAGAAATTTAGATGACAGGCCAAAAATAAGAAGTCTAAAAGTGAAAACCCGAGCCGGAATTCATAGAGGTGATGGGAAGAGCCTGACATCGAAGGACAGAAAGGATCCTAAGGAAGGTAAAGAGAGGAGGCCTGGAGGTGATGGTAGAGGGTAGATGTGCCACAGCTTTTCAGAGCCAGAGGGCAGAGGAGAGGATAACGCCAGAGATGGCAGGCGAGGAGGTATCGCAGCGTGGCGCTGGGAGAATGCGCCAGAATTGTGGAAACCAGGGCTGGAACATCACACACGTTTGGTAGTTTGCTTTCTGGAAAAACAGTATCTAGTTAAAAGCAGCCAACAGAAAATTAGGTGAAATGTTCCAGAAACTAGAGGGGTTGATTGATGGGAAAAATAAGAGCCCTGAGTATATAGCTGAAAGGAGTTTTAAATATATATATAAAATACACATACCCAGCCAAGATTACATAATAATGC